TTTAATATAAACAAAACGACCTCAACAATATATTCTCGTACTCATTAATCATTCATAAGGTATCAAGCCAATGGGGCCCAGATTGGAATTTGTACAACACGTGCAGTAAGTGGAAACCAGAGGAAGTACTCCCTACTACCTTGCATTCTACCTTATTTCCAGTTACGTCTACATTGTTTCCAGTCATCTCAAGCATGTTAAGGATTGGCTGGAAGTGGAATTCGATAAATAATTTAAAAAAATTCATAACTATTTTCAAATTTATCTAAAACTCATCAAACTTTCAGAGATTAAAGAAGATGTTATGCTGAAAATTAAGAGCTGTCATTTTTAACATTTCAATGCTCACGTGACCGGTCACGTGAGCAATGATATATTTTAAGAAAATTTGAAATGGGCTGAGAAAATTAAGTACAACTTGCAAAAAAAGAGGCATAGGTACAATGTTAGAATGACAAAAGAAAGGTTTCTGTCCGGAATGGTTAAGATTTTAACATTAAACTAAATGATTTATAGGGAAACCTTCAAAAATATCGTTCTTGTCTTCTTTAAACACCGAAAGATTCCCTGTATTGCTTCACATTGAGCCATTCCGGACACAAATCAAAAGGACATGTTATCTGCTCAAAGATTATGTATAATTTTTCTATAAATGCTTTCATTCCGCCAGCCCGATTGCTATGAAAGTTCGCCTATCGATCCTTTGTAAAACACGGTCCCACTTGTGATGCTTTCTGGAGACTGGAAACWARGTTTTTAGGTAGCGACCGCTAAATTTAATCATAGTTGGCTCAAGTCACGAAGCATCAACCAATCAAATACAAGCTGGAGATAAAAACAAACATGGCGGCGTTGGAACACTATCGAAGAAGAATGAATCAAGGCAAATATATAGCCATTTATGCTAAAAATAATGGACTTTTAATGGAAACAAGTTATGTATCACATTATAATGAATCTAAAACATCACTTAGAGCAAAAAAATACATTAAAACTTACAGAGAATGTAATATATTTGTGTGTGATAATTTTGGTACTGTTGTAGTTTGATTTCAGGAAGAAATCGAAGAGTATTTCTGTTTAAGCGCCAAAATTACAATCTAACGTGCACGTTAGGTAATATGAGACGAAATGAACATCCCGCGCAATGAAATTGGCGCTTATTTCAACGTGATCTTGGGACACGAACAACTTATAATGACCGAGAGAGTAAACTGTGGCTTTGCGAGAGTTTTTCTTTGGGAAACTAAACTTATATCACTAAAAAACATCATAAAAATCGACAACGAGTCAAATACGGCATTTAAAAGCAGAGTTTTGAGCGAAAGACTGTCTTTATTCAATGAGCATTTCAAAGACTATGAAGGTTTCAACATCAAGAAAGGTAAGATAAATAGTCGATCACATCATTGACGAGTTATAGTCACTAATATTCAATGTCCGTGTCTCCCTCTCTATCGACAGAATTATTTAGTAAAGTCTACACAATTTTAGATGAAAAAATATCACATTGGAGAAACCCTTCAGCCAGAGAGAGCTATTTGAAAGAATTCTCGTCTTTTAAATGGAGTAAAACCTCAGAAGCACGAAAAAAGTTCCATACACTGAGAGATTGTCGTTGTTGCAGAGATTTCCATGCTTCATTGACTGAGTCTTTCCCTGAAAGTAAACACAGAAAAAAGAATAAGAGAAGTCCTTTTAGCAGCCATAACCTTCAATCTCAAGTTAAAACTATACCAAGTAAAGCCAAACCAACAAAGAATGAATTAAAGGTTATTGGCCAAAATATCTATACTGAATTAGATCAAACATGCAAGGAAAATCTGGGCAGAGGTTTCACAGAAGTGCTTCTTGCTGTCCCAGAATTGAAACTACAAGAAAAACAAACAGACAAAGAAAAAAGAAAAATTAAAAGAAGAAATCAGAGGCTATATAAAGAGTCGATGGAGAAAGAATGGGCAAAACACGATATTGATGCTCACTTATCTCAAAGGACACCMTTATCTAACAGGGAAAAACAAAGACAGCACCAGTCCTTTGAAACAATCAAAGAGGCAAAGGAGAGAATTGAGAGAAGCCCACCATCAGTAAGAGAGCGCAGCCATGTCCCAAGCCAGATTGAAGGAGATTTGGAACAACTGCTTTTGGACGTACCACAATGGCCACAAGAGCCCATAAACTGGACACAAATGGCTCGTAAATACAACGTAACAAAGAAAGGTGGTAAAGATTCGCCATCAAATGCTKGTCAAATCTTAAAGGAGTATTTAAAGTCCAACAACATTGATATTGCACCATATGAAAAACCATGTAAGTATTTAAAAAATTAAATATCTTGAGTAGATAGAATAAAAATGTCAATAATAAATTTTATTGAATAAAAATAATAATGTACTGAGAGATTTTAGTATATACATCTATGTATAGTATGCATTATTATTTTTAATTATAATGCATAGTCGTGGTTTCTAACACATACTAGAGTGCAAAAACAAAATGTGTGCAACATAAATTATAATACAATACATGTACTTCAATTAAAAATTGGATTGCAGTGCATGATTATTGAATATGATATGCTATGTTCACCACAGGTATTCATCGTGTACGAAGAGCTCTTAGAAAGCAAGAAGGTGGAGCGGTTTCAGTTCCTGTATCTCGTAGCAACAACAGCATAAGGAAAGACATCAAAGAGAGAATTGAGTCTGGTCATTACAACTTGGGGACTGCTGTTCTAGAAACAGAACTGTGTAAAATAATTGTAAATACACAAGGAGAGGTAGAGAAAAAAAATTACAASGTAGCTGCCAGAAAATATCCATTACAAGAAATATGCAAAGAAAGTCTGAAAAAAAAATAAAGAGTTGATAAGAATGAGAACAGATGAAGAATACGAAAGAATGTCTTATGAAGAGTTAAAAGGTAAACTAGAAAGAATCAATGAATTTGAAGAACTTCCCAAAGATCAACTTCTAGCAAAANTCATGAATGGGGACACACCGGCTGTTGAGTTTGAAAGTGGCAATCAAAAAGGTGGTCACTATGCATGTTCAGGCTGTGAGGGGGATATGAGAAGAGCCTATGAGTATGACTACATGAGCTACCAGAAACCCAAGATCCTTGGCCAAAGACAGGATTTGGTACTCAAGGGTAAATTTGGCAAAAGCGACGCAGAGCACCCCTTCAAAAACCTCAAAGTAGCAGAAATAAAGAAAGAATTAAAAGAAAGAGGTATCAGTATTTATGGAAAGGTCAAAAAAGAAGTACTCCAAGCAAAGCTCACCAATCTATTACGAGGAACATCAAGAGTGCCTGCATTGTTATATGGCAAGTCAAGACAGTCACTTAAAGACCTGAACCTAGAACAGTATGAAGTACTTTTCTTTGAACCACTCCACACCTGCCTTAATCACATTGCCAACATTCTAAAAGAGCTTCCACTGCACATGACAAACATCGACGCTTTGATAGTTTTCAAAGAACTAACCACTATCCTCCTACAGAAAGATAAACTTCGTGCCACCGACTACAGGAGAGCTCTTTTGAAGATCACTCTAAGCTTGCTGAGCAAGAACCTTCTTTCAGAGAATGAAAATAAAATCCTGTTATTGTTTTGTGAGATGGCTGGAATGTACTATGAAAATGATGAAAAGAGAAATCCACGTTCTGTTCTAAGGCTCTATAACATCTCCTTTGAGCATGGACAGGCTGTGCAAAAACAGCTCACCCCTCCTAAAGCAATGACACTTAGAAAACTCTGTGGTATCTACTATCACAGTGCAGTAGATCATGCACCCTTCTTAAACAGGCTGGTATGTCTTAGATCAATTGGAGCTGAGCTCTTTGAGAGGTACTTTGAACGGATTGAAGATATCACTAGAAAAACTTGGAGTAAACAAGTACAAGACCTGGTACCTAATGCATTTCTACATATACAAGCTGAGGACCTGATGTCAACTGAAAAAAGTACATTGGCAAATCAAGAAAGAGAAATATCCAGTCTGGCAAAGCACCTTCCCCAACCTACTAATACAATAATCCCCAAAGATCTGATGAACAAGCACTCTCGTCTCTGGCAGTCACACCTTACAAAGATTGCTGACTACCTTCATGTTCAAAGTGATCAGTGGTGGAAATGGAGAGATGATGGCTCAGTTGAGTTTTATGATGCACCACATGAGGTTGACACAAGATCAGAAGGTCCCTCTCTTTATCATTTTAGAAGTCACACTATTGAGTCAACCAAACAACACCTAGATAATGAATGGCAAGCATGCATCAATGCTCCTGAGTCATTRCCTCTCTACAAACTTCGCGACACCGAAGGAAAACTGGTTTATAACAGAAACCAAACAGATGAAGAACAGCAACATGAAGTTAATTTAGATATGGATGAACAGGATTTAGATGGCAGTCGAGATGAATTAGAAGGAAGCAAAGAAGAACGAGATGAAGTACAAGAAGAGGAACAAGCACAAGAAGAAGAAGAAGAAGAAGAAGAAGAAGAAGAAGAAGAAGAAGAAGAAGAAGAAGAAGAAGAAGGGGAGGAGGAAGAAAGACAAACTGTTCATCTACATGTACTAGAAGTAGCAGTAGAAGGTGAATGTGATGAACAAGAACTTGATATTAATGTAAACCTAACATGCACTAACCTTACAAACAGCAACAAAGAAATCTTGAACACTCAAACTCAATGCGATGCTATAAAACAAGGACAAAATAACCAACAAATGAATAGATTTCATGATACAAGCAATACCACCCTCACAAGTGATAACCCTGATGGGCCACCAATTAAAAAAAGAAAACATGCTACTATCAACAAAGAAGACCAGCTCCAGTCAAAGACAGCAAAGGCAATGGAAATGGTTCTTGGTAAACAAAATGAAATTAAAGAATTTGATAAACTTAAAACTAATCTTGCTCTCAATCCCCAAAACAAATATTATCAAAAGAAATATGAACAGATTTTGCTCAATATACAAGTAAATGTCCTCAAAGAGCTGAGAACACTAACAGAACAAATAAAGAATTGGGACAAAARCAATAATAAAGAATCACAATCAAATGGAATYAATGAAATCCTAAAAAGAAGGAATATAGCAATGAAACTTCTGCAATCTTGGCAAATAAGTGTCCACATATAGAGAGAAACTACCTAACATTGACAGAGAATGTATTTACAAAGTATATATATAAGGATAATTTATAATATTGTATATTTTAAAATCCTTAATATTACACTTAACTTTTAAATTRGTTAAAAACTTATAATCATATTTTGAAGGAATTATAATTTACTAGTAATTAGTTAGTTAATATCATCCCGTGCAGGTTATGGAATGCATGAACAAAATTATGAACATCCAGAACCATGACTTTGTATATAAATTTCATAGAATATTTCCTTTATGATTGAAATTAAAATGAGGTACGTTCGATCAAGCTTAAGTTAATATATCATAACTTGAAATTACGTCAATTAAAAGTTGGATATATCCTTACCTTTATTGTCTTTAACCAAGGGATAGTTATGTCTGTATCATTGTGCCATAATTAAGTTTACAAACGAAAAATAATTGTTGTCAGGTCCTGCCTTCGTCGATCATAACAGACACAACCTTTCATGCCGTTCAACAACCACGATTCGTTTAATACTTTGGAAACAAAAAAGCTTGATTTGGAGCCAATCGAATAACATGATATATATCTTCGTTATAAGTTAGAAAAGTCAGCTGCATTTGACATTTATCAGAGCTCTTAACAGTAAAGAAAGTCTCCTTCGACRCCACTGTCGGCGCCATGTTTGTTTTTATCGATTACGAGGTACTCGAGGGATATCAATCCGGCGGGCGCGGGTCACAACAATGCTGGGGGTCAACGACGGTGATATCAGCCAAGCCTTAACATGCTTGAGCATCTGTCTGTATAGAAGAATGAAAAAAATCTCCTTTTTGGGATGTATCAAGCAGAAAGCAAGGATTCTTAGCTCATTTCATGAAGAGGATGGTGTTTGCAGGATTGTCTTTGCCACTAATGCCCTAGGCATCTGGTCAACTTTCCAAATGTAAGGACAGTGATAAACTATGTGCCTCCAAGAGAAATAGACGAGTTGGTACAGGAAATTGGTAGAGCAGGACGYGATGGACAACCTTTCATTGCCATTTTGCTTTACAGTGGAAAGCATTTGAGAAATTGTGAAGCCATTCTCCAATATTGTGGCAACAATACTAGTTGTCTGAGAAAGCACATTGCATCTCAGTTGGTTTTTGAATGCGGAGGTCATGAGTGCTGCATAAACTGCCACAAACAATGTAACTGTAATGAGAAATGCCCAGTCACAGTTCCGACATTTCCCGACGACACCAATGGGTAAAATCGATAGTTGATAAAAATCGATACAATCGATATCGATAACTTACTTTGATATGACATTTTTAAGCCACTGAAAAGCTTACAATAAAGAAACTATTGCCAAAAATGTTGCATAGACAGATATGATAACGTGGAGAAGAGCTTGTACAAAAGCTAAACATTTATCAATTATGAGCTGAAGCGCTTAAGAGTAAAATTAAAAAGCCACAGCGTAACYACCAATACAATATGCACTCACAAAAATAATCTGAAAAAACTATCATCATAATAAAACAAAACAGATGGCATGAGCAATCAAAACAAGTCGACGTTTTCGTGAAATCCACTTTTAGTGATTGAGGAGGTGAATCAAGATTAACCAGTGCCATAATTTCTCTGGTACCTAGTACTGTCCGCTGATCTACAGACGATTCAGTTATGTTTACGACAAGAAACTGAGTACGTTATGTTTACGGCAAGAAACTGGGTACGCATATTGATGACCATGTCAACCAGTGTACCCATTTTAGCACTTTTTGGATTTTGTATCCCGTATTCATCCAGGATTTCCTGCAGTAAAAGCTTTGTTAATTTTTGTGGCTCTCCTTCTTGTTTCAACCTCTCCCTTTCCTTAAGTGTGAAAAATCATTACTGTGAAAAATCTACACAAAACTATGTTTTTATTCTTCATCTTCAATAAACTCAAGTTCCTGTTAAATAAATTATCTTTGTATTTAATGTTCATAAAATAACTTATATTAAGTTCTCCAAAGAAAATACAAATC